TTGTTTATAATTTGGTATGAAAGCACAGGTAAAAAAAATGCAAGTTTTTGACTTAGTTACTCTAGATACAGTTTTCCTTAAAGGATATATAGGAATTGTAGGTTGTAATCAGGAAATAAAATATATCTTGTAGTTACTGCATACCACAGTGTAGATTCTGATGTACTTTTGTCTAGTCAAAGTACCTTTATCAGTTGGGAGAAGGCAACAGGAAGATTATCCTGAAAACTTTTTTTTTTCTCTCATATCTTCCAATTTCCGCCCTGAACAAATGTCAACTACAGTATCAGACTCTTTCTTTGTTTGGTTAAATATCAAACTATAAATCTGCACCATTGCCAGTAAAAAGTGGTTTATCTTCCTGATGGCCTGCAGGAACAAAAAGAGATGTTGATATTTTAGATTCCAAATAAAAAAGCAGATTAATGCCATCACCTCTTGGTGCAAAGATAGGCTGCCGCTGCAATGCTGGAAGAAGACAAAAACCAAAATCGGGATACCATCACACACTGGACCCTGGACCAGACAACTAATCAGACAAGGTTGGGGATAAGGAGGCTAGGACACTGTACTGTTCATCTGTGCTGCCATCCCTTTAGATGACATTGTGCAGTACACATCACTGGAGATAAACTAATGACTTGGTCACAGAAATGGAGGATTATCTGGTGCTTTATGAAGGTGAGTATGGTTTCAACATAGCTGTCTGTGAATGGAGTTGACTGTGGAGCCCTTTACAACAATGGAAATGGAGTGAGCCATCCCACTCATTCAAAAAACCTGTGCTTTTATGGACGGTGAGAATTACCTAGAAAGTTTTCTTTCTGAGCAAGCAGAGCTCATTGTGTTCTGTACACACCTCAACACATGCTGTAATCCTATGGCATAATACTAATACTGAAATGGTATTCACACTTACAACCAACAATTGTTGATTTGTATCCTTTGTTTCTCTTCACTGGCTGCTCTTTCTTCTGAGCTGGGTATGTCAGTGCAAGTTACAGAGCAGCTGAGGAAAAGAGCTAGAATATAACCATTTACCTTCCTATAACTGGTTTTGTTTTTTTCTTTTTTTTTGCTGAACATATCAGGAGGATTGACAGGCCTCAGTGCTGCAGACTGTAAGATCACACTTGTGGTCAGCTGTAAGGAGTAGCCATGTGGCTGCGTGATCTGCACAGAGTGTGAGCGTCACAAAGAATTGATGGGCCTTAGCAGGGAGTCTTACGCTGGCATCTGAATAAGC